GGGGTGTCAATTGTACAGGCGACCTGGTTGGACAGGAGGTCGTTGCAGCTGGTTTCACTGTATTTTAGAATACAACTCCCCCACCCCCCCTCTCTCTCTCACACACACACACACACACACCCACACACACACACACATACACACTCACACACACACACACACACACACACACAATGAGCTTTAGAATGTGCAAGTCTTTTTCAGTACATTTGCATTCCGTTTCTGCAGTAAAAAAAGCTCTTTTATTTTTAGCTTTCTTTACCTGGAAAACTTGCTTATACAGACTCCGGGCTTCTTGGAAACTTTCGTCCAAATATTCCACGAAATGCTGCACTACCCGCCAGATTATGTAGTTTGCTACTGTCCTGCGAAGGCGAAAGGTGAAATATGCATTAAAATACAGAAGGACACACATTTTAATCCGAAGACTCTTGAATAGCAATCGATTTTACCTCTTATGATAATTGTTCACAGAACAATGGATTTTCTAACATTGGAATCGCGAGCAGCTCCTGAGTAGAGACACGATTATTTTCTTTTAGGGTAATTGATTCCAACTGTATGTGAAAATTTCAACAATGTATAATATTTTGTTATACTTTAACTTTTGGGGATCAATTATATTTTGTTTTTGTTGGGAGCGGGGCGGGTGAATAGGGTGTGGAGTTATTTGGGTGTAGAGGATTAGCTTTGTGAGTGTGTGTGTGTGTGTGTGTGTGTATGTGTGTGTGTGTGTGTGTGTGTGGAAGGGGGGGGGGGGGGGGGACTCCGTACTGCTTTGCTTCTTTGAGCATTTGCCTGTATTGTAACGGTAAGGTTCTTCACCTTGCATGAAAAAGACTCGAGATCGATTCCAGGGTGGGGAATGTATCACTTATTCCAGAATATCTAAAATAGTTAGACTGAATCAGACCACCATCAAATTATAATATAAATAAAGCCTCCTATTTTGGTCTGGTTGACCTCGTGCGCAGCTTAGGGTCACTGTGGGGTCGTCACAAAGTACACACAATCCAGCACAACGTGCCTACATTTAAAAAAAATCGATGGCAACAAGGATAGAGGGCGACCGCTAAAGATCTGGATAGATGGAGTCAGGGAAATATTAACCACCCACGGCATCCCTCTGACCCAAGCTCTCCGGCTGGCGACAGAGAGACGTCTCTTTCTTCCTGCGGATCCCAAAAGGGGTATAAGAGGCGGATAAAAGTAAAGTAAAACTTTTCTCCCACGCAGCCACTCACCTGGGTTCCGTCTCCTCGACTATATCGACGACATCCTTGAGATATTGCAGAGCAAACACAACGATCGGCTCGTCCTCCGTGATGGGGTCTTGGATAAAACCACGGAGGTACCGCAACACGTCAAACTGTGGTAGGAATGCAAGGATGAGTCTAGTTAGTTACGATTGCCACCACTATGTACTGCTTGAGTTGCCCCCTGTTGGCTCTAGATAGCTTGAGATGTAACGAAGACTCAAAGACACTAGTTTGGCAAGTGTTTTACGGCGTTAGCAGTTGCGTTAGCTTATATGAGCGCGCTTATGAACGTGAGGGACACATTTATATTTTAAAACTTTTTCAGTTTGGTAAGAATTAATCTTGAGTTTGAGTTTTGCCCAGGTGGCGGCCGAAGTCTACAAAGAGACTTGTTCAGTTTTGTAAGAGTTTTACGGCACTTGCAACACTATAAAGTCATGCAAGCGCCGAAAATTAGAGGTGTTACAAGAGAGCAACAAACAAAAAAGGGGAGATCAGGACTAAAGACTTTAATAGGAAAGGGGGTCGCAAACCACACCACGGCACGCGTCAACCAACCACACACTTAGGCTTGCCTAAATGAGCTCGCCTTACTTTTACTCTGCGGTACCACGCCAGGCACCGATATTTGTGTCTTACTTTATACCTCTTAAGTTTGTTTTAGAAAACAAAAAAGCCCATTGACATGGTAACGGCCATTTAGTCCAGGAGAAGGGCAAGACAAACAGACAGACAGACAGACAGACAGACAGACAGATAGACAGACAGACAGACAGACAGACAGACAGACAGACAGACAGACAGACAGACA